GCTCTGCCCCTGGCATAACAGAAGTCCATGGGCGACGGTAACCACTCACCATCAAGTGGGCCGTATGCTCGTCCGCCTACAAGGGCAATAAAAAAATAAAAAAGTGAGCGCCTTCCATTTTAATAGGTTGTCGTGAACTGTTCTTTAAATGCAATGTTTTTGTGACGTCATTTGAGGCCAAATTTACGGCGAGATAGCTTTTGATTATTTACAAACCGATTAACAACATGTGACATCGTATTGTTTATGACAGCTAGTTTCCGATTTTACCTTCACTGAATATGAGCCCATAAAAGCGAAATATGTTTAAATCCGTCTTGAGCGTTTCTTTTAACAAGCTTTTATTACTTTGGTATGTATGTATGTTTGTTTGTTGTGTTTGTTTATCTGTAATATAGTATTTAAATGAATGGCTCTGATGAAAAATACGTCGGCATATCACGTTCTTACGGATCCATCAGATCCAATGACTCTTGCATTAGACGCCTTCAGCTCTAACACTGTATCACTAGGAGCAGTCTTAGGGTCCCAGTAACCGTACGTAGATAAATATGTAAATGCCCGGAATTAAATAAAAATAACCATTTTGTTTTCCCTTTGATGTGTCCCCCGTCGGACGGATTCCTTTTGTTTGTTTTACGTTTATTTTATACAAAATTTGGGTCTTTTATTTCTCGATTGAGGCACTACGAAGTCTGCCGGGTCGACTAGTCTAAAAAATAAAGTAATTTAAGGTTTTATTGTATATATCGGGCAAAATTACGCAAGAAATGCAAAATTACCAATTTTATGGGCGCTTGTACTGCCATAACGGTGACGTATGGTACATAGGAATCCCTTTAAAGCGCCATAGCTGAATAAACGGGCTGCCTCAAGACAATTAATGGGTGGTTATTTATGAGACAATAAAGAATTCCTCAAGTACGCCACGCGATATTAGGGTGCTTTAGGGTATTTTACTGGTGGTAGGACGTATTGTGAGTTCGCACGGGTAGGTATCACCGCCCTGCCTATTTCTGCCGTGAAGCAGTAATGCGTTTCGGTTTGAAGGGCGGGGCAGCCCATGTACTTTTAAAACGGAGACCATACAACTCATGTCTTGAGGTGGTAGGACTTCTTGTGAGTCCGCGCGGGTGGGTACCACCACCCTGCCTATTTCTGCCGTGAAGCAGTAATGCGTTTCGGTTTGAAGGGCGGGGCAGCCCATGTACTTTTAAAACGGAGACCATACTACTCATGTCTTGAGGTGGTAGGACCTCTTGTGAGTCCGCGCGGGTGGGTACCACCACCCTGCCTATTTCTGCCGTGAAGCAGTAATGCGTTTCGGTTTGAAGGGTGGGGCAGCCGTTGTAACTAAACCTGAGACCTTAGAACTTATATCTCAAGGTCGGTGGCGCATTTACGTTGTGGACGTCTATGCTCCAGTGACCACTTAACACCACGTGGGCTGTGAGCTCGTCCAACCACCTAAGCAATAAATAAAAAAAAGGTGGGGATTTACGTTGTAGATGTCTATGGGCTGCGGTAACCACTTAACACCAGGTGGGCTGTGAGCTCGTCCACTCATCTAAGCTATAAAAAAAGAAGCTTTTTATAACTTTTTATCAAACGTACATACATACTAAATATTACTAATTACTTTGCATACTTCACTTCGAAGGTCGGATTCTAAAAAAGCCCAGTTGCAGATGCATAGATAGATTAATTAGGGAATATTACTCATCGATGTAGTAAACGCTATCTCGGAATTCGACCGCAGTTTTGTTTTCACTCACGTCCGATCTTGTTATTGAGAGGAATCCATTGATGCGAAATTAAGATTTGCATTTTTAAAAAGGCAATGATAAACATTTTCCACAATCCGAAATTTTTACTGTGAATATACATCGGATAATTGAGAGTCTTGTGAAGCAGTAATGCCTTTTGGTTTGAAAGGTGGAGTAGCCGTTGTAACTATACTGAGACCTTAGAACTCATATCTCAAGGTGGGTGGCGGCATTTACGTTGTAGATGTCTATGGGCTCCACTAACCGTTTAACACCAGATAGGCCGTGAGCTCGTCCACACGCTTAAGCAATAACAAAAAAAAAGATCAAATAATTAAGATCACACAGAGATAAATTTCTGCCAACGCCATTGAGATGAATCGTGTTTTATCTCCGCATCCGCCGAAGGTTGACGACGTTGATGAATAACGTTTTTGACCTGGATATTTAGGCTGAATAAAATAATTTCAGGTCTCCGGTCGGACTATATCATAAATGTATATTCGAGTTTTATAGCTTCATTAAGATCTAAACACATCGGGTATTAAGCACACTGTTTGTTTGTACATGACCTGTTCTTCTTTTTCATCGTTCCCTTATTTAGGAAAGTGACCGTACATAATCTATATATTAATAGGTGAAGCAAAAACTTTGTAGCCTTTTTTAAGAAAATTGCGCGGACGGACGAGTATGAAATTTCCCACACTTACAGAGAATATAGAGGATGAGTGCACAATGCTAATACATATATATATTTTTTAAGTTATGCATAAAACATACATTAAATCAATAAAAAAAACATTACACACACTACCATGTATTTAACACACACACATATATATATATATAATTATAATATTTTATTTTTTATTGCTTACATGTGTCGACGAGCCCACAGCCCACCTGGTGTTAAGTGGTTACTGGAGCCCATAGACATCTACAACGTAAATGTGCCACACATCTTGAGATATAAGCTCTAAGGTCTCAGTATAGTTACAACGGCTGCCCCACCCTTCAAACCGAAACGCATTACTGCTTCACGGCAGAAATAGGCAGGGCGTTGGTACCTACCCGTGAGGACAAGAGGTCTTACCACCAGTAGCTGCTGACGTGCTGATGCGTGAGAGCACGTCTTAAGTATTTTATTACAAAAATTGGTATCAACATTTGAATACCGGCACATCGCTTCTATTCTTTAGGCCACGACGAGTTAGATGTAGGTGTTATAGCATACATGCTACTTGTGGTGAACTCTATTAGGCAATGTGCATCTCAGTTTGTAGATTAGGTTGTAACTGTATTTAACAGCGTTGTTTAGACTTTAAGTTTATTAATGGCGTACCTCAATGCGTCTTTGGACTCGCAAAGGGACTATACTTTGTTAATACGCTTTTGTTAGCTTCAGACGTTAGAATTATTGAACATGATTTTGACCCTCTTCAAAACGTCGGATTAACTCGAAATTTGGTATACTTATTAAGGACCGATGACGATTCAATATTGAAAAAAATATTGAAAAAATTGTAATTCAACTAAAAAATGAATAATAAATAATAGTTTAAAAAAACTAACAAAACACGCTTTTACAGAAACTAGAGGTCCCGCAGTAGTCGAAATTCGACTATAATTGTAAGATTTGTAAGATTGTATTTTATACTTCTATTATCATATAATCTTTATTTCTAAATTTCACCAAAGCTACACTATAAAAAAATATTAATAAAGACTAACAATATTTAATCTATTCTCAATTTGAGCACAGACGTCAGGAACAAAAGTTTGACAATAAACAGTATGCATGCGTGTGTGCGTCATGGTATGTAGTGTGGGTAATGTTTTCTTTATTGATTTAATGTATCTTTTATGCACTATTTAAAAAAAATATTAGCATTGTGCACTTCTTCTCTATATTCTCTATAAGTGTGGAAAATTTCATACTCCTCCGTCTGCGCAATTTTCGTAAAAAGGGATACAAAGTTTTTGCTTCACGTATTAATATATAGATATAAAAAAGCGGGGGTGCTTTTCAGGATATTATCAAAATAACCCTTCTACTCATATCTGTTCATAAAATATTTATAACTACTCCTCCTCTTCCTGCACCTCACGCTTTTTTTTACAATAAAATCATTTTTTCTTACACTATTTTTAATTCAAATTTATTCAAATTGATTTTCTATTTTTTTTGTTGGATTTTCTAGAAAAGCGTATTTTGTTAGTTTTTTTTTAACTATTATTTAATTATTAACCCTACCTAATCGCTGTTAGTATAAGGAGCTGTTCCAATATTATTATAATGACGAACCGGGACATTGCAAAAATTACGCGAACACAAAAAAAAAATGGCTGTCTACTGCTTATAATTTTAAAAACTTTTAATTTCATGGTGTTTTTCATACACTTCCCGGTTTCTAATATAACTTTGGGCTTGGTCCAAGGGAAATGTGAACGACCAATTAGTAGTTTAGGTGCTTGCGGAAAATATGATAGAGAAAAAAATTTATTATCATAATTATGACGTGCTTTGGGTTATCTCATTTGAGATACGTTCTTAGAAAATGGTTGGGCTGTGCATACGCGTCCGATATTGCTGACGCTGACTTTTGTTCGTTCTCGGCAAAAAATGTAAAAAGAAATACCATCGCAGATCGCACCGAATGTTTTTATAAAGTGGCACAAAGAATAAATCTTCGATGCGCCATGTTGACAATGCTTACAAAATATACTATGGTTCCATACTTTGTCTACTAAATATTTAATTTAAGGCTTCGAAACACATACGTAGAAGCTGATATACGATATTGTTACCACAATGCAATTAGACGACTGTCTATATTTATACTGTGGTGCCTTCAGATATATCACAGCGATGTAACTGTCATCAGCCTTGTGAGAAAAGATCTAAGTCAAAAGTGTTGATATATGACAGCTATCATAGCCTTTACCACGTAAAGAATTACTGTCGAGAGCTTTTGCTCTTACTACGCGCGGACTACCAATCCTTCTCATCATTAATCGACACTTCTACATGGCAACGTCATGGATCTGGTGTTTCGCGCGCGTAGTTCATATGGAAATTCGATATTGATCAATACAGGTTTCGGTAGGCAGCGGCTTGGCTCTGCCCCTGGCATTGCTAAAGTCCATGGGCGACGGTAACCACTCACCATCAGGCGGTCAGTGGGCTCATTTGCCTTAAAAAAAAACTTAAATGTCGTTTTTCGATCTTTCCAGATAAAATCCGTAAGAAGTACGCATCGCTCGGGGACAATGTCGTGGTCGTGAGGCTGGAGCGCTCGCCGAAGGCTGGACTTGGCCTGAGTCTAGCTGGTCACAGGGATAGGAGCAGGATGGCCGTGTTCATCTGTGGATTGCACCCAGCCGGAGCAGCCGCCAAGGCCACACCCGCTGTTAAAGTTGGAGACGAGATCCTAGAGGTAAGCTTTTTTTAGAGCATTAGCTATAAGTATTTTTTGAAGTTAAACTTCTTTAGAATCGTTGTGATTTCAAAATTGATGAAACGAAATAAAACGAAACGAAAAAATAAGTGTGCCGCGATTGGCTTGCCGAAGCGGCTCCGAGCGGCGCCGACAAATCACGAAGCGCTCCACACGGTCTTGCGTCCCCGACTAGTTTAGTGTGCTTTTGACGTCCGTGCACGCTGTCGTGGCTCTCGGAGAGCCCTGAGATACTTTTTTTTCTATTTAGTGTGTTATCAACAGATGTCGCTGCACGTAAATTCAACAATTCCTGAATCGCGTGACGAGATGTTACACAGTTGATAGGCTTTCTCGTGTTTCTCTTGCTAATTCATACTTACCTGGGCTACGTCATCAGGTTTGAGCCCCGTGAGCTAACCTACTAGTTAAGGCGACGCTAATATAGCCTCTCAAGGCTATAGATAGGAAAAAAAAATACCTGGCGTAGGGAATACCGTGATCATGTAGGCGGTTCCCCCAGGGCGAGGCTGCTCCATTGCATTGCGGAGTGGTTGACCCTTACGATTATTTTTATTTCTATCAATAAATAAATCATAATAAAAAATTTATACCCGAATAATTATTTTCTAACCTCGAATAGACCTTAAAATTAATTATTAATAAATTTATAATAAGGAACTTCGTTCCTACCCGGTGTCCCACAACACCACACATCTTTTTTTTATGATTGAGGATTTCCTGTCCTATAAGTGAGCTCTCTTTCTCTCGTACATAATTATTCTTTGATAACTCATTCGCCATCCAGGCGGTCCGATTGTGGAATTTTCTGCCGGACGCAGTGAGAAGTGCTCCAACTTCAAACTGCTTTGAAAGAACGGTGAAGGAACATTACGTATGCGACTAGTGTTGTTTGCTTGTTTATGCCTTATCCATACTGTTGATTTATTATTTGTATGTAAGTATATTGGAATATCTGGAAAAGCTGAAGAGTTTGTTTTTTGAACGTGTTAATTTCAGGAACTACTGGTCCGATTTGAAAAAATATTTCAGTGTTAGATAGCTCATTTATTGAGGAAGGCTATAGGCTATATAACATCACAGCAAGGCCAATACAACGGGAGCACCAATGAATAATGTTTCAAAATAGGGGTTTAAATAGCTCCTTAATATTTTATAATTCAAAAACCTACCCGTGCGAACTCACAAGAGGTCCTAACTACAGGTTTTGGTGTGCAATAAAGTATGTTCTCTCTTTCTCTCTCTCTCCCTCTCTCGCTCTCTCTCTCGTCCTTTGAACAGCAACGCCAGATCGCTTTCCGTCAGTAATAAACACTGGACGATTCTCAAATATGAATGCAGCCAGCCAGTTTAAAAATACAACGAAATCGGCTCGAATCTCGCGACCCGTTCATTCAATATCAAATACATAAACGAATACTAAAAGAAGACCATTCAAAATACTCGTAAAATCGCATGCCGTCGCGCTGTACATGCTTACATCCTAACATTTGGACTGGCGCCAGAGAAGACTGTTCACTGTTCGGTTACTATGTAAAAGATGCATGGTCTATCTGGACACAGTTCAAACATGTTCTAGTTAGTTCGATGCAATGGGCCGATCAAGTTTTTTTTATTTTTTGAAGCGATGTTCCTTATTGGACGATGCCGAGGGGTACGCTAACCGGGAAAAAACGTCCGTAACATAAGATTTTTATTAGTAGTGCACATGTGTACGACTTAACTTTGTAATAACGTACAAAAAATAACATATTTTTTTATCATTCATTGACCACGATCTCAGAGCGTTCGTTTGCGCAATACACTAACTCTTATGCAATCGACCGTGAATGAAGTGTACCACAATAAGTTCGCATGTTACCGAATGACCGTGGGTTATTGCGAAACCTCCAGTTTTATTTTCTTTATACCTCGAATAGAACTTAAAATTAATATTTTTATAATAAGGAACTTCGTTCCTATCCGGTGTCCCACGACACCACACATCTTTTTTATCTTTATTTAAGGAGATTATTCACCTAGTGATTATGCCACTCCATTGTGCAACCAAAAGGGAGTAACAAAATAATTATATGAGGAAAAAAAAAGGAAGCTGTTATCGTCTCTGAAGGCCCACCAAACTATTTAAAAAAAGTGACTTAGCCATTTTGAATCCCGGAAAGGCTAATACGTAATTTACACCTCTAACTTGTCGAAAGTCTGTATATTTTGCAAAGAATTGTTGTCTCAAATCATCGTTCCGCGCACACTCCATCATAATGTGAAAAGCATCTGTCTATTTCTGCCGTGAAGCAGTAATGCGTTTCGGTTTGAAGGGTGGGGCAGCCGTTGTAACTATACTGAGAGCTTAGAACTCATATCTCGTAGTATGTGGCGGCGTTTACGTTCTAGATGTATATTTGCTCCAGTAACCACTTACTACCAGATGGGCTGTGAGCTCAACCACTCATTAAAGCAATAAAAAAAGAATGACATTTGGTTAGCTTTGAATAAAATTTTGAAATTCGTAATTGTCTTATAGTATTTTATGTTCACTTGTTACAACAGCGGGGTGCAGAAAAATAATTGATCCCTACAGTTCATGTTTGTCAACACTGATCCATCAATATTGGTGACGATGATTCAAGTTTGTTGTAGAGATTATGGCATGGCATCCCTAAAGGAAATCTCTCATTCTTCCCATTATTCCTCTATTTCTCTTGATTACTGGCTTAAAGGCTGGGCAAAAAGATTCTGCTTGTGATAATATAGCTAAGTGTGGACTATATGTGTAAACTTGTGTATTGTTTGTGCAGTGAAGAATGCGCCTTTTCCTTGTGTAATTAGGTACCTTACCTATAGGTATGTGAGTTCACTAGTCTTACAGCTTTGGTCTATTACTATATTTCTGAGTGAGTGTCGACGGCATTGGTGACTGCATTTGACTCATGTCTCAGTGGCGGTATCAAATATCTAAATATCTATGGAGTATGATGTAGCTAGCTTCGAATAACCAATGGATTTAAAAGATGGTGCAATTAAGGCTTGGCACAGCCGCTCTGCCTACACCTGTGGCAAAGTAATCACAAGCACCGATCTGAAATATAGGTTAATCACTGCGCATTTCAAATTTAGACCATGTCTCTGGACGCCAGTGTCGATTTTCGTTCTGATATTTGTAAGCTCTAGTAATCTCTTTGGGTACGCAGTAACATCAGCTCCTTCAAGCATTTCTTTGAAGCAACAATAAAAGCGTACTTTTTGTGTGTCATTAAAACTTGAACGACCGCGTATTTTTTTATACTACACCACAGAGCTGAGTGAATGACACATACATAGTGACCGTAAAATGATTTGTTTTCAAAGCGAGCAGCACTAAAACGTTTTTAATGTGTATACAAAATAATTTCACGCGTAGCTAGTACATTTTTTTATATGTACGTTATAATTGAAGTCCGGAATTAAAGACGTATCAATCACTGCTTTGCTATAAAATAGAGTTATCGGAGATTTTATTTGGAAATTTTATTTTTTTAAGATTTTTTTTATTTATTGCGTGGATATCAGAACGGGAATGTCATCACTGGAGGTCGGAGTAGGTAGATTGATTTAAGGTCGTTGACGTCAAACGTAGAGGATAATATGGATATGCCTCCAAAATAATGGAAATTCATATTTATTGTGATATTTGTTCCGGAATTTTGAAATTAGCATGAGTCTGTGCTTAAGATGAAAACTTATTAATAATATTAATCTACGCTATCAGTACTAGCTAATGGTGAAATAAATCAGTATTTTATTATATTTTATACAAAAACACCTCGGAATAGTTACACCGTATTTTGTCCCTTTCTGTTGAATTAGAAATGACGCTTGTCAGTATGAGACAAAACTTTGGCAGGGCTTTTTGTTACTTTATCTCATAAATATAGATTTTGTATCTGATGAGGTTTAAAAATATTTTTTTTCAATTTAAAAAAATAATGGCATTATGGATAAAATGGCATCTCCATATTATAATATCTTGACGCAAGTATATAAAATCAATCTACCTACTCCGACCACTGGTCATCACCCGTCTTGACGCATGAGATCGAAGTCTCGATTGTATAACGGCTCTTCTTCCGTTCAAACCTGTATGTGTGAGTGCTTCGTGGCAGAAATAACCCTCTTATCATGGCCAATGCTAACTACATAACCGACTCAGGCGATGGGGCAAAACAAAGCGGCCGTCGTCCAAAACAAGTCGGATCCCCCGGATCCACTCTCGATGCTATTAGGCTCTTCAAGCACCGGTCACCGTCCTCGTCGTACTTGTCGACTCTGACGAAGAGTTCGACGTCGAACTAACCCATAGACACAACCCACTGAGTTTCTCGCCGGATCTTCTCAGTGAGTCGCGATTCCGATCCGGTAGTAGATTCAGTGAAAGCAATGCTCTTGTTAGGGCTAGTGTCAGCAATTCTCTTAGGTTGAGCCCGTGACGGGTTCAGCGAGGACGGTGAGCGGTGCTTGTGGTACCTAAAACTACCATTAACGGATCGGGAGGATCCGTAATGACGTGTTTAGGGCAGCATACTTGAGTTATCTATCGTATATTATTTATCTTATTGCTTATCTATATATAATTTATCTATTGTACTGTCGTCAATTTTTGGTGCGTGTGCAAATTTTCAAGTTAATCGCACGCTTTAAAGTCGATGAAAACGACATTCAAAGATTCTTTTACATACAAACAAACATACAAGACAAACTAATAAAGGTTAGTTAAAATTTTGCCGTAGAACTAATAGTAATATATCGAGAGATGAAAGGCTATTTTACTTAAGCGACATTTTTGCAACTTTACCGGAGAGCCATTTAAAATTTGGAAAAAGTAACATAATAAAAAAAACTTCAGCTATTTAGGTAGACAGCGGCTTGGCTCTGCCCCTGGTATTGCTGAAGTCCATGGCGACGGTAGCCACTCACCATCAGATGGGCCGTACGCTCGTCTGCCT